CATTCAGGCTGACGTGTATGCATTTGGGGTGTTGCTTTTGGAGCTTCTCACAGCAAAGAAGCCTTTTGACTAGTTGGCCCTGTCCATTACAATCCTTTTTCGTTTTACAAAACAAAACATAAAAAATAAAAATGAATTTCCCATTCTCTTCAATAGAAAAAATCTTTATTTTTTCACCATTTGTAACTTGAATCCCACATCAGAGCAATATCTGGTGAGATGGTCTTCATCGAAGCTTCACGACAGCTCGTCTTTGGCAAAGATGGTCGATCCAACCATTGCATGAACCATCTCCTCCAAGTCCCTCTCCTATTTTGGTGACATTATCTCTCTTTGTATTCAGGTATTCAAATAATGCAAATGGGAAAACCTGCAAAATGAAAAATGCTTATTTCTTTCTTTCTTTCTTCCCTAAATCATTAAGTTAGGGAAAAAGATGACATTAGAAAACTTCTTGAGTTATTTTTGAAAGAGTATGATGCAAAAAACTGATATTAGAAAACTATATTATGATGACAATAATAGTAATCATTATTTTAAGCACATTGAAGATATCATAAAATAACAAAATAAAAAACGTTATAAATTTCTTTAGCATTTACGTTTTCACTTAAAAAATATTAACTTTATTTTGGTTTTCAACCCTATGTTTTTTTTTATTTATTTTATTTATCATAGAGTACAACAAATAGTATTAAATACTACATTTCATTATTCAATAAAATACACCATTTTTCGTAAAAATAATTGAATGAAAATTATATTATACTATTAAATATAAACCTAATACTAAATATAATTTGAAAAAAAATACTAATTGAAAGAAAATTATATTATACTATTAAATATAAACCCAATACTAAAAATAATTTGAAAAAAAAAAAATCACGTGCGTATCACGTGCATCTTTCTAGTAATACTAAAGAAATAACAAAGGCAGAAACAACTGCAGAAAGATGACATAAGGGAAAGAAAATGTATTAGCAAAGAACAACAATTCTTTGACGTCATCAAGGAATGCATCACGTTTGGTGCACCCTAACATTGTGATGCTCTTCGGGTTCTGTATGGAACACGGCCAGCATCTCATTGTGTATGAATACATAAAGAGTCTTTCACTTGAAAAGGCTCTGCATTGCCCTGCATACACACCGTTGTCTTGGGGCTTACGCCTTAGGATTGTGCTTGGCGTGGCACAAGCTCTGACCTATGCAATGATCCCTTTTTCTGTACAACATTGTTTAAACAGGTCATAATGTATTCTATAATAATTGTCTCACTCAGACAATGAACTTGTTTCGGGTACTCACATAGGTCATTGCCTCCACCCATAGCCCACAGTAACATAAAGGCTGCGAATATCTTGCTTGATGAATATCTTATGCCCCACGTTTGTGATTATGGTCAAGCTATCTTGAGGCCCCTTGCCAGCAACTCATTTAAGATCAAGGTAAAAAGCTAGGGACTTTGAAAATAGTTTAATTTATCTACTCCGATTGATCTCAAAAGTTGCAAAAGTGCAACTACAAAAACCTCCTCAGAAGTTACGGCAATTTGAATCCAAAAGTCCAAGTTGGTTCTTCCAACAGCAACAACAACATACCCAGTATATTCCCAATAGGCCAGTTGGTTCTTCCAAATTATGATTAACCCTTTGACATATTTGTTTCTGTTTAACAATCATATCATCTACCCAAAGATTGACTTTAGGGTGTGCTTTTAATTTATACCAATGGAAAAAATCAACAGTTGTCTGGTGTGTAAATTGTGCATTAACAGTTTTCAGAAATGGCTATAGCTTATAGTGGCTACATTGCACCTGAACATAATCAACCTGGAAATGGGAACATTCAGGCTGACGTGTATGCATTTGGGGTGTTGCTTTTGGAGCTTCTCACAGCAAGGAAGCCTTTTGACTAGTTGGCCCTATCCATTACAATCCTTATTCGTTTTACAAAACAAAACAAAATAAAAAAAATAAAAATGAATTTCCCATTCTCTTCAATAGAAAGAATCTTTATTTTGTCACCATTTGCAGCTTGAAGCCCACAGCAGAGCAATATCTGGTGAGATGGGTTTCATCGAAGCTTCACGAAAGCTCGTCTTTGGCAAAGATGGTCGATCCAACCATTGCAAGAACCATCTCCTCCAAGTCCCTCTCCTATTTTGGTGACATCATCTATCTTTGTATTCAGGTATTCAGGTATTGCAAATGGGAAAAACTGCAAAATGAAAAATGCTTACTTCTTTCTTTCTTTCTTCCCTAAATCATTAAGTTAGGGAAAAAGATGACATTAGAAAACTTTTTGAGTTATTTTTGAAGGAGTATGATGTAAAAAGATGACATTAGAAAACTATATTATGATGACAATAATAGTGATCATTATTTTAAGCACATTGAAGATATCATAAAATAACAAAATAAAAAACGATATAAATTTCTTTAGCATTTACGTTTTCACTTAAAAAATATTAACTTTATTTTAGTTTTCAACCCAATGTTATTTTTTTATTTAATTTTATTTGTCATAGAGTACAACAAATAGTATTAAATACTACATTTCATTATCCAATGTAATACACCATTTTTTGTTAAACTATATGAAAGAAAATTATATTATACCATTAAATATAAACCTAATACTAAATATAATTTGATAAAAATACTAATTGAAAGAAAATTATATTATACTATTGAATATAAACCTAATACTAAAAATAATTTGAAAAAAAAATCACGTGCGTATCACGTGCATCTTCCTAGTAATACAAAAGAAATAACAAAGGCAGAAACAACTGCAGAAAGATGACATAAGGGAAAGAAAATGTATTAGAGAAGAACAACAATTCTATGACGTCATCAAGGAATGCATCACGTTTGGTGCACCCTAACATTGTGACGCTCGTCGGGTTCTGTATGGAACACGGCCAGCATCTCATTATGTATGAATACATAAAGAGTCTGTCACTTGAAAAGGCTCTGCATTGCCCTGCATACACACCGTTGTCTTGGGGCTTACGCCTTAGGATTGCGCTTGGCGTGGCACAAGCTCTGACCTAAGCAATGATGCCTTTTTCTGTACAACATTGTTTAAACAGGTCATAATGTATTCTATAATAATTGTCTCACTCAGACAATGAACTTGTTTAAGGTACTCACATAGGTCATTGCCGCCACCCATAGCCCACGGTAACATAAAGGTTGCGAAAATCTTGCTTGATGAATATCTTATCCCCACGTTCGTGATTATGGTCAAGCTATCTTGAGGCCCCTTGCCAGAAACTCATTTAAGATCAAGGTAAAAAGCTAGGGGACTGTAAAAATAGTTAAATTTATCTGCTCCGATTGATCTCAAAAGTTGCAAAAGTGCAACTACAAAAACCTCCTCAGAAGTTACGACAATTTAAATTCAAAAGTCCAAGTTGGTTCTTCCAACAACAACAACAACATACCCAGTATATTCCCAATAGGCCAGTTGGTTCTTCCAAATTATGATTAACCCTTTGACATATTTGTTTCTGATTAAGAATCATATCATCTACCCAAAGATTGAGTTTAGGGTGTGCTTTGAATTTATACCGATGGAAAAAATCAACAGTTGTCTGAGGTGTAAATTGGGCATTAACAGTTTTCAGAAATGGCTATAGCTTATAGTGGCTACATTGCACCTGAACATAATCAACCTGGAAATGTGAACATTCAGGCTGACGTATATGCATTTGGGGTGTTGCTTTTGGAGCTTCTCACAGCAAGGAAGCCTTTTGACTAGTTGTCCCTGTCCATTACAATCCTTATTCGTTTTACAAAACAAAACAAAACAAAACAAAACAAAAATAAAATAAAAATGAATTTCCTATTCTCTTCATTAGAAAAAATCTTTATTTTGTCACCATTTGCAGCTTGAAGCCCACAGCAGAGCAATATCTGGTGAGATGGGCTTCATCGAAGCTTTACGACAGCTCGTCTTTGGCAAAGATGGTCGATCCAACCATTGCAAGAACCATCTCCTCCAAGTCCCTCTCCTATTTTGGTGACATTATCTCTCTTTGTATTCAGATATTCAGGTAATGCAAATGGGAAAAACTACAAAATGAAAAATGCTTACTTCTTTCTTTCTTTCTTCCCTAAATCATTAGGTTAGGGAAAAAGATGACATTAGAAACCTTTTTGAGTTATTTTTGAAGAGTATGATGCAAAAACATGACATTAGAAAACTATATTATGATGACAATAATAGTTATTTTTGCATTTACGTTTTCACTTAAAGAATATTAAATTTATTTTGGTTTTCAACCCAATGTTTTTTTATTTAATTTATTTGTCATAGAGTACAACAATAGTATTAAATAATACATTTCATTATTCAAAAAAATACACCATTTATGTTAAACTAATTGAAAGAAAATTATATTATACTATTAAATATAAACCTAATACTAAATATAATTTGAAAAAAATACTAATTGAAAGAAAATTATATTATACTATTAAATATAAACCTAATACTAAAAATAATTTGAAAAAAAATCACGTGCGTATCACGTGCATCTTCCTAGTAATACTAAAGAAATAACAAAGGCAGAAATAACTGCAGAAAGATGACATAAGGGAAAGAAAATGTATTAGCGAAGAACAACAATTCTTTGACGTCATCAAGGAATGCATCACGTTTAGTGCACCCTAACATTGTGACGCTCGTCGGATTCTATATGGAACACGGCCAGCATCTCATTGTGTATGAATACATAAAGAGTCTGTCACTTGAAAAGGCTCTGCATTGCCCTGCATACACACTGTTGGCTTGGGGCTTACGCCTTAGGATTGCGCTTGGCGTGGCACAAGCTCTGACCTAAGCAATGATGCCTTTTTCTGTACAATATTGTTTAAACAGGTCATAATGTATTCTATAATAATTGTCTCACTTAGACAATGAACTTGTTTCAGGTACTCACATAGGTCATTGTCGCCACCCATAGCCCACGGTAACATAAAGGCTGCGAATATCTTGCTTGATGAATATCTTATGCCCCACGTTTGTGATTATGGTCAAGCTATCTTGAGGCCCCTTGCCTGCAACTCATTTAAGATCAAGGTAATAAGCTAGGGGACTGTAAAAATAGTTAAATTTATCTGCTCCGATTGATCTCAAAAGTTGCAAAAGTGCAACTACAAAAACCTCCTCAGAAGTTACGGCTAGAGATGTTAAACGGTCCTTGGCCCGACGGGCCTGCCTGTTTAGCCCGAAAAAAACAGGGTTAGGGCTTTTTATTGGTAGCCCGTTTATATCATGGCTTTTTAGGCCCGGACCGTTTAAACCGAAGCCCGTTAGGGCTAGCCCGAAACCCGCTAGGGCCGGCCCGTTTAACTTGAGTTGGGCGTTGTAAATATTTGCAGCAAGTAAGTAATATACTCTTAGATTCATTGTATATTAAAATTTTGCTATTCCACTTCTTATATAAGTATGAGCTGTAACGGATTATATTGATTTTGAAAGATAATTATTAAAAAAATGAAAAATCAAAAAAAATTTGAAACCCTTCCCTTTCGAAAAAATCCCTCGCCATCGTCTCTCTTCTTGCAGCTGATTCGCCCTCCTCTGCCGGCATCGATATTAGCCAGAGGTTGCTGTCCCCCAATTGTCTGGTTCCTGCCCCTTCTTTACCGCCCCACTGCCCATTTTCCATGGCTTCAGCTCTCTTCAGCCGCGAAGGGGTTTTCTTCTTCCGGCGATTGCTCGTCAATTCCGGTTGGTGGCTGTTATTTCGTGTGGTGGTGGAGCTGTTGTGCGGTTCCTGGGGCGGTACACGACTTGCTTGCTCGGCATTTTTGCTGGGCGTCGAAAGCGGTGAAGGTACTCACGACCATCTCTCTTTTTTCTCGATTTACGAGTCAATGGGGGCTGCTGCGATGATAAATCTTTCTCCAACAAGGCTGGTCGGGGCGTTGTTGCGGCGGAATGGTGGTGGTTGGGTAGCTCCTAGGCGGTTTCGGGGCTGGGGCTGGGTCGTGGCATTCTTTTGCCTGTTTGGGGCACTTGGGTGTTGTGGTCGGGGTGCTTGTTGGTCTGCTGTGGTTTCGGAGTTGGGATTTCACCTCCGTTAGGCACCCGAGTGGGTTTAGCAGTTTCGTGTTTGATGCTTCTAGCTTTGGGATCCGTGGTTGATTGGTTTCCAATGGTCTGAATCGATGTTGCGGCCTAGGAGGGGCTTGTTTAATTTGCTTTGTTTTTTTGTTTGTGTTTTTGTGTGTTGTTTTGTCTTGTTTGTGTTGTTTTGTATTACCCCGTTGGGGTCGGTAGTCGTGTTTTTTGTTGTTTCTGTTGTATTTTTGGTCTGGGTCGTTGGCCTCAGTGAGCCCGAGTGTCAACGTTATTATCCTGTTGGGATCCGACACTCGGGTATTACCCTGATGGGGTCTTTTTGAGTAGTTGTTTAGTTTAGTTTGGGTTGTTTTTTCTAGCGTTGCTAGCGGGATTCTAGGCGGTCTTCTGACCTGTCCTCCCATTTTATTCTCCCGTTGGGAGCTTTGTATATTTATTCGCACATTTGTGCGCTTTTGATTTATAATAGTTCCTCTGTCGTTTCGGGAAAAAAAAAGATAATTATTAACAATATTCTTATTGTACTCCACACCAAAATATTTAACTCAATCAGAACGACTAATAGGAAACAAATAAGACAAAGACCTAACAAATGAAATTTTGTGATAGAATTTATAGTGATATAATATTGTAAAAATTTCCAAAGCGTACAAAATAAGTAGTGAAATAATTCGAATATTTTTTTCTTTTGAAAAAAAAAATGTTATTTAAGAGTTTGTAGTATGTGTTCATATATGATGTGTAGTTGTATATATAGAGCGGCAAATAATAAATACCGTTGAAAACAATCGTTAGTCGTTGTAATTTTTTGTAATTTTTTCTTTTTATTTTAGATATTTTTTGATACATTATTATTATTATTATTATTATTATTATTATTATTATTATTATTATTATTAAAGCCCGCTTAGCCCGTTTAGCCCGAAGCCCGCTAGGGTTAGGGTTACGTCCTTTTATTGGTAGCCCGTAACCGCTAGGGCTAGCCCGTTTAACATCTCTAGTTACAGCAATTTGAATCCAAAAGTCCCAGTTGGTTCTTCCAACAATAACACAACATACCCGGTATATTTCCAATAGGCCAGTTGGTTCTTCCAAATTATGATTAACCCTTTGACATATTTGTTTCTATTTAAAAATCATATCATCTACCTAAAGATTGACTTTAGGGTGTGCTTTGAATTTTTACCGATGTAAAAAATCAACAGTTGTCTGGTCTGTAAATTGTGCATACATTGCACCTGAACATAATCAACCTGGAAATGGGAACATTCAAGCTGACGTGTATGCATTTGTGGTGTTGCTTTTGGAGCTTCTCACAGCAAGGAAGCCTTTTGACTAGTTGGCCCTGTCCATTACAATCCTTATTCGTTTTACAAAAAAAAAAAAAAAAAAAAATTGAAATTCCCATTCTCTTCAAAAGAACAAATCTTTATTTTGTCACCATTTGCAGAATGCCCACAACAGAGCAATATCTGGTGAGATGGGCTTCATCGAAGCTTCACGATAGCTCGTCTTTGTCAAAGATGGTCGATCCAACCATTGCAAGAATCATCTCCTCCAAGTCCCTCTCCTATTTTGCTGACATTATCTCTCTTTGTATTCAGGTAATGCAAATGGGAAAAACTACAAAATGAAAAATGCTTACTTCTTTCTTTCTTTCTTCCCTAAATCAACCCCAAAATGAAAAATAACCCTTTTTTCCCTTTCTTTGGTTTTTCCGTGTTTTGAAAATGTGAAAGCAGCTCGAGCAAGAATTCATGTCCTCCATGCTTGTGATCACCGCTTCTCTGGGGCAGCTGAAACGACAGGCTCCTGATGCCAATTTGATTGAAGCAAACCCTTCGAGTGTGTCTTATAGGCCCAACAACACCCACTTTATCAACTAAAAGCAACTTCTATATAATCTTGCTTTTTTTTTTGGTTACCAAATTCAAATCAAGAATCGGAATTAAAGATGTTTGATGGATGACATGAATGAATTTTGCGTTTTCTCATTCTAGATACTAATATCTTTTCATCTGTTAAAACCGTTGGCAACGAAAATAACTTACCATAGTAACTGTAAAATATTACACAAACAACACAAACAAATGAAGAATTCCAAAAATAACATAAACACTTACAAACATAACATTCCATTTAATAAAAAGTAAAAAAAGAAATAAAAACCCATTCAACAGGTAGTTTTAGCAAAAACGTGCAATTTGAAAAAAAAAGTTGACGTAACTAATTTAGAACGCACGCCCGAATCGTCAAGATAGGAAATTTCTTTAACAATTAAATCGTCGATGTCCTCACTCGTGTCGAGAGATTGCGTACCGTCATAAAAACAAGAGTGAGGCTCATCTCTTTCAAGGAGGCAAACCTATCCACCATAGCTCGAAATTCTCCCTCTAACCGAGTACTCTCCCGAATAATCCTCGCCGATAGAGAACAATATCTACCGAGCGAAATGTGAGATGCATCCAACTCAAGGAAAGAGACCACGATAGGCGGGCAAGGGTCTGAAAGAGGGTCGACTCTGTCCTGTCTCTGTCCAGCAGGTAGAGTCAAACTTCGTAAGTGTGACTTGAAGAACGGATGGAATAGGTATGCTCTTCAAACTATGAAACTCATCAATGATCGACTTGAGGCTCGTAAGTGCCTCTTGAGTGCTCGCCAAAACCTCTCGGTAACGCTCAGTAGGCTCAACTGTTGTTGGAATTGAAGCTTCGGGACTCGAGGTACAAGGTTGGCCAACCGATAGGTGCTCAAATGATAAAAAAGATGTAGGAAAGGACTCAGTTTCTTCTTTCTCGGATATGGGAGCCATTTAAGCACGAAGGGATCGATTACACTTCTTTAATTTCTCCATAATCTCTTCTAGATTGACTCGAGAAGATTCTCGAGTCGGCTCGGGTGAAGGTGTCGCATCATAAAAATCGGGAGGCAGTGGATAATAGTGAGGCATCTCGTCGTGACCCGGAGAGTAATAACCGACATCAACTTGAGATGACGGGTAAGAAGGGCTCGGATACGGATAGGGCAACCCTCCATACGAGTATATCTCATCATGGTAGTTGTCGGGGTATCCACGAGATGAGCTATCGTCATAAGAATAACCGTACGGGTCCATCGGAGCTCCTCAAGCGAAGTACCTCGCACAAGAAAAACAAAACAACCAAGGCACACGAGGCAAAGAAAGAGGACACAAAAACACAACTAAAACGACACAATATTAACACGAACACACATCAAATAGCAAGAGAAACGAAAACAAGCAAATAATCAAGAGAAACACACAAAAATAAGAAAAATTCACAAAAATCAAGAGAAACACGTAAACAAACAACAACTAGATAGTAAACTAGGCGTCCTACTCGCCTTCCCAAGCAACGACGCCATTTTGTTTGTAGTGTTTTTAGGCATGTGATAACCGAGTTACCCAACTCGGATCATTCTCAAAGGAAGGTTGTTCGGAGCTTCGCTTACTACCTAGCCGTCAAAGTCACATAACCGAAAAGAAGGTACTACACATTCTACTCGGTTGATGGGATTGGAATTCACGAAATTAAACTAACACGAGAATGTCGGCGTGAGTAACGCAAACATTGGTGAGAATCCAATGCCCTGAAAACCTAAGGGTTCCTCCGCAAGGTTTGTCCACGGAGGGTAAGTCAGGGCCTAAGATCAGGCCGAAAGGCATAGTCGATGGACAACAGGTGAATATTCCTGTACTACCCCTTGTTGGTCCCGAGGGACGGGGCAGGCTAGGTTAGCCGAAAGATGGTTATCGGTTCAAGAACGTAAGGTGCCCCAGGGTAAGAAGGGGTAGGGAAAATGCTTCGAGCCAATGTTCGAGCACCAGGCGCTACGGCGCTGAAGTAAGCCACGCCATACTCCCAGGAAAAGCTCAAACGACCTTTAAACAAAAGGGTACCTGTAACCGAAACCGACACAAGTGGGTAGGTAGAGAATACCTAGGGGCGCGAGACAACTCTCTCTAAGGAACTCGACAAAATAGC